AAGAAAAAAAAAAAAGCTCGTGACTATTCGAACAATAATTTTATTCAAAGAAATAAAAATTCAAAGAATTCCAAAAAATAAAAAAAACTCTTTCATGCCAAGATAGGCACAACCATAAATTAAGAAAGTAATATTATTTACTTATATTCCTATTTGAAGCTGCTTACAGTCAAACAGAAGATTTTCAATTGAGAATTAATTTGATAAGCAATTTATGCAAATCCAAATCCTTCTAACTCCTGTTGGTGGAATTCTCCCGCCTCTTTACAACCCATGTTTGTACAATTGCGGGTTGGATGTTTTTGAATTGAGTTTCCTTCTCATAGACTGGTTGATACTCAATACCTACTATTTACCCCTAACTTGAAAAGAGACTCATTCATGACTTTCCTGAGAGTGTTTGTACGTAAGGGAATGTCACAAGCCCAACTGCAATTCGACCGCAACTCTCCGCTTCGTCAAACCGAACCGCTATCTATTAATGCTCTGTACATTCAGAATTGATCTTCTCTTAGACCGGTTGCCATCCAGAGCCTACAATTTACCCATTGCTTACGCCGAAAAGAGATGGATTCATACTTCTTCCCTAAGTGAATGTAACAAACCAGACTGAAACTCGAACTCAGCACTCCGATTTCGCGAACCGAACCGCTATCTATTACTCCACCGTACACCTTACTGTTTCCTAAATTTTCGAAACTGGATTGCTGCATTCATAACTTTGAAATTGGAAGCTGTATCGATATTATCAACCGGACACACTTCTAAATCGATAAAACACCAGTATTTGTCGATTCGCACATTTCTTGCTGTTTAAGAAAATTCGAAAAATGCTAATCTACAAAAAACTCTTTCCTCACCAAATTTTTTTATGAGTGCGCCAGTCTATTTAAGAAGAAAATATGTCTTATGTTTGTGGAATGTGAAAAAAGCTTTTGAATTACCTTATTCGTGAATACTGAAAATATTTTTTTTAAAACACGTGAATTATGCGTAAATATCCAAGACATATTGTTCTTAACAGTCAGAAAGAAACATCAGCGATGTTTGATGATACAGATTAGGGAAAGCATTTGAGAATCTAATACTCACAGGGTACAGAGAAGCAGTAGAAAGTTACGAATAACTTATTTGAAATGTTTGAACAAATGGACAGAGAAACAAGTATTACAGAGACAACGTAGCGCCATAAATTGAGAAAGTATTGCTGAGAGCAACAAAAGAGAGGAAGCTGTAGAGAGCCATCATAGCCAACGTCCTGAAGAGACTGGAAGCAGATAGATAGATAGATAGATAGATAGATAGATAGATAGAGAGAGAGAGAGAGAGAGAGAGAGAGAGAGAGAGAGCGAAAAGGAGACAGAACGAGAAAGAGAAAGGAGATGAGTTGAGTGTCTGTGAGTAATTTATAGAAAACAAATAATACCAGAAATACATTTTTGGAATAAAAAAGTAAATATTACCAGCAATAAAAATTTTGTCGGCATTAAATAACCTATTGAGGTTGATAGTAATTTTCCAAGCGTAGCTTAGATGTGGCACAAAGCCGAAGATATGGGGCACCCATTGTGGACCGAACTCACTACTCAATCCTAATTGTTCTACAGAGATAAGCTTGCTAATCATTACACCGTCTCGAGGTGTTCGAAAACAATTTTTAAGCGTAGCTGGGATGGGGTTCCAGTGAGGATCGAACTCACTACTCAGTCGTAATTGTTCTCGCAAGAAAATCTTACTAACCATTACCCCGTGTCGAGGTTCCCCCCCATTGTGGTTGATATGCCGTAAAACAAAACAAACCAAACCCAAGAAAAATAAATTTAGGCATAAAAGGAGTTGTCAGGCCGCTAAACGAGCAATTTGAAATTTAGCTTAACAGACGAGGACAGAATTGGAACTCCTTACGCCAATTTCATTTTCTGTAACTGTTACACTAACCACACATCCTATATTATACAAAATTCTAAAGAAAATAAAAGGTCATCTTATTTTTAATTCATATTTTCCTTCTTCAAACTATGCAGTAAATTACTGTGAAAGTTAAAAGCTGGAACAGTTTTCTGTATTGCGCATTGGTTAGTGTGTCAGTCTTCAGGCGATTGAAGAGCGTTGGTCACCCATAATATCTTCAGTGTATATGACCTTGTACCAAAGATAGCGTAAAATTAACCGCATGTGCTTGAAACTATATCCTCGGCCATTACTTCCACGTTCTAAATGCTAAGCGATACCCACAAGTGTTGGTTGAGGGTATTTGTCTTTATCAGCCTATCTATTAGCCGGCACATATATATTCAAATTTGCGCGTGTTTCGTTGTGTTCTCGGACGTCTCCAATCGTGAAATCGACGTTGCGGTTTTCATGATTGATCACATCACATTACTCCTTCAATTCCATCTCTAAAATCCCGTACGGGCGATTCCTGTATAGATTGTTCGGTGATGGAGACAAACGAAGATCTCAAAGGTAAAACATGGCTGAACAGTAAAAAGCGAGGAGAAAGAAGAAGAAGAAGAAGAAGAAGAAGAAGAAGAAGAAGAAGAAGAAGAAAGTTCCAACAACGAGGAGAGAAGAGGCGGGAAATATACGATAGTCAAAGAAGCGGGAAGGTGAGAAGGGTTACAAGGAAGTAGGCTATAAAGTGAAAAGATAGACAAAAAAAAAAAAAAAGAACAAAAAAGAAAAGAAGCGAAACATAGAAGAAAGAGGAAAATATTTTGAAATCTGAAGTTGATGAGAACAGAACGAGAAAACAAAATGGCAGGAGGTAAAAGAAATGGGCTAGAAATTGGAAAAAGCAAAATGGGGGAAAAAGAGCTGAAAAGAAAACGGAAATTAAGTAAACAGACGAACGTTTACAATAAACGATACAAAAACTGGAAGGGAAAATACGATACAAGGAAAAAGAAAAAAAAAGGGAAAGGGAGAGAAATTGAAAAGGTACAGAAACAGGATAGATGGAGAGAAAGAAAAGAGAGAATGAAGAAAGAAAGAAAAAAACGAAGGATGTAAATAGAAAAACGAGCAGAGAGAAAGAAAGAAATCAAAAAAGTGAGAAGGTAGAAAAAGATCAAGAAAGGTGTAGGAGGAAAAATAAAAAAAAAGGGAAGTATAAAAAAAAAGCAAAAAAAGACCGGAATAGGAAGAAAAGCGACAAAAAAAAGCGTGGAAAGAAAAAAAAAATAGCAAGAAAAGGAGAAAAAAAGAAAGGAAAAGAGTGAGGAAAAGAAGAAAAGATAAAAAGAAAGATGGGGTAAGATAGTGAGAAAAGCGAAAGACGGTAAAAAAAAAATACACAAGAAACATCTAATAACAAAATAATGAATAAAATAATGAAGCGCTAAATGAAAGGAAAAAAAAGAAAGAAAAGGAGAGAAAAAAAGACAAAAACTTAGGATAGGAAGTGAAAAACAAATTAGAAAAATGAAATGAAAAATATTAAACGGTACACAATCAAGAAGGCCAGTGTCCGGAAAATGGGGAAAAAAAGTAGGGCAGAAGATAAGGAAAACAAAGACAAAAACTAAAAAGATCAAAAGAATACAGTGGAGAGATGTTAATCGGCCAATGTCCATCAGAGAAAAGGTTGGTTTCGGGCGATACGCCAACAGTTCAAATAGGCCTGTCCACTTAGAGTGGAAAACTTTCGATATAGAAGACGTTGGATGCGGTGCCTTGATGAAATGTCGATCGAAATGTAACGAAAGAATATGTGGCTGTCTGCACATGAAACATGTTCTATAGTAATTCTACAATGTGCATTAGCATCGATTTCAGATGCATATCAAAATGCTCTCTCCTGATATATATATATATATATATATATATATATATATATATATATATCAAAATATTTCTCCTGATATATATATATATATATATATATATATATATGTGTGTGTGTGTGTGTGTGTGTGTGTGTAAGTTTCGTTGAAAACGACTGACAAGGTGTGGTAGTTGAGTTTTTATATAATTTCTCATCTGTTCATGTAATCTTTTTTCTTTCCCGGACATAAATTATATAAAAATTGTCTGAATGTTTTCCGAGCGCTTTCGGCTATACTTTTAAACATTATCAAGGATTCATTTTCCTTTTAACTTAATATATGCCTTATTTTATGTACGTATCTAGAGTTATAGGAATATTTTATTTTGCAAACACAATCAGCACATTATGGCCGTGTTCATAGTTGATATTATTGAGTGTTGGCTTTTTCTTTTAATAATGCTTCAATTATTTTAGCCTTTTTGTACATGTGGATGATGCAATTATATTTTATTATCAACAAGTATGTTACAGATAGAGTTTAGTATGTGTATTTAAATGAGACGTAACTGAGCTATGGTCAGAAAGATGTAACGTGAGTCTTCTTGTTAAACATGTTGTAGTTTATCCAATATAATTATTTACAAAATTTGGATTCGTCAGTAACACAACTGGTCATAAAGAAATACACAACTCCAGTTTATAAAAACAAGAAAGTTAAATTAATTATTTATTACAAAAAATTTAAAACCGTTAACCTCATCGTAAAAAGTAATAATTCTCCAGCAAGATCTACATTACAACGAATCAAATTTATGAATGTACATACTCCTTAAGGAACTGTGTTCCCGACCAATCAAAATTCGTAAATAATTGTAATATAAATCTGATGTTTATTTCGTCAAACGCCATTTGACAGTTATCATTCCATTTCCGCTTTATTCCGTTTTTGATCGTTCAGTGGCGCCTTTAACATATATTTCATAGTAATTAGCCAGTCCGAGCAAAGCTTGTAACGTATTCACTATTGATGGTTGAGGCATATTTTAATTTCATTTGCCCTCGACGAATCTGGTTGACAGCCATCTTTATCAATAATTTGACAAAGATATTTAATTTTCGGCAAAAACAATTCGCATTATTCTTCACTAAGCATGAACCCGTATTCTCTGAGTTTTTCCAAAATTTTTTCACATGACCAACATATTGTTCTTTCGTTACACTTTTAATTAAAATATCATCCAGTTACGCCACTGCGAAATCGCAATGCACAAGTATAGTATCAATAGCTTGATGAAAAATAGATAGTACCACCTTTATACCAATAGGAAGTCGGTTAAACTTATATAATCCACTGTGCGTATTTTTGCTTATCGTTAAATCTGAACATTCATTTTCAAACTGAATTTGTAAATACGCTTCAGAGATCCATTTTTGAAAATATTCTTCCGCCGTTTAACTTCGAAAAAATTTCGTCTGGAATTGGTAATGGGTTGTCATGTGTTTCTAAGCAACTGTTTAAACGAATTTTTTTTTCCTTTACCTACACCGCTGGTACAGCCCATTTTGAACGTTTCTTTTTTCTATTACACCAATTCTTTCGAGTCTGTCCAACTCTTCATTGACTTGTTTCAATGCTGTGAATGGTACGCTTCGATTTGGCTTACATACTGGCCTCGAACCATTTTTTTCTTTGAAAATCCGTCTTGACTTTTGAACACCGGTCCAGTTCATTTTTTTAAGCGTTTCACCCTAAGCAAGGCGAGAAGCCACTAGGACGCAAGGGGTTATAGAAGATCATATAGGAGTGATAGAAGAAATGATGAAGAGAAGGGTAGTGGATAGAAAAATTTGGATTTGACAAAACATTTGAAAAACAATTTTTTTAATTCTTCCTTAGGATTTTCGCTCTGACTTTTTAAATTGGCCGCTTGTCCACTTACGTTTTTACAGTAAATGTTCATCGGCAAATAGTTTCATCCAGTCAGTACCGAATACGTTCGTAGCATTTTTTAAATACATAAGCTTCTGTTTTTACATGCTTATTACCGAATGAGACATAACAAGTCATTTATCCCACCCCACACCGCAAAAAAAAATCTCACCGGAAACTAAAATTGCGACGTTGTAACTCCTTTTTAATAAAGGCTTTCTAATTTCTGTCCATGTTGTTTCACTGATGTTGAAATATTACTACCAATGTCCAGTAGCATTTTCACACCCACATTATTTATATCCCCATTCACAAATTTCCTTTTGTTTTCTGTGACTATTCTTTCCTCACAGTGCTTTGTACGAATTTCTTCCTATTAGAAGTTTTTCTTGGTTTTGTTTTACAGTGTGACTTTATGTGTCCTTGGTTACCACACCTGTAACATTCTTCATTTTGAAATGGGCAATATTTTCCAAGATGTAATTTGCAACATCAGATAAAGGATTTATTCTCCTTTTTGTATATTTGTCCATTGCTTGTACCAACGCACAGTTTTTTTCTGAATTTCTTCAGCATCTTGTTTCAGACTTAGAATTTTCTAGCAATCGTGCTTGTAGTGTAGAATTACTATTTTGTTCAATTTTCCTTAAATTTTTCGCTCGTATTTCAGAATGTTTTTAGTTGTTAAACTTTGAACGAAAATTAAACCATTGAATATATAAGGGGTTATTTCCTTTATTCTAAATTTGTCACATTCTTTGTTGACAATACCAGCATACGTGACAAAATCTTCGTCCTCTTTTTTGGTTAGATTGAGCATTGAACAGAGAGCTCTTGTCGCTAAAGATTTTCATCAGAAAATGTCTTCAAACCTGATTTTACCTGTTTTTTTAGGGGGGGTGTATGTATTTGCCATATTTTTCATACTCTGAGGTAAACCTTAACAGCAATCTCGTTTTCCTCTTATCTTCCAAACCGCTGCATTTCTTACTAAATATTTGTCCATATGTACGAAAATACACAGAAAAAATCAGTCCCTCATCAGGATTGTATAAAAATTCACTTATGGTGTTTTGGACAGCGTCTGGCGCAATAGACGTTGAAGAATGTTTTTTCTTTTCTTCATAGTTATATCTAACAACTCCTGTTGCAGTTTTTGTAGTTCTAGCAACCGTTGATTTTTCTGTTTCTGTTGTTGTTGCTGAATTTACAAGAATATGTTTTTCTTCCTACACCCAAGAGAAAAACTGTTTTACTTCTATAAAACAAGAATTTGTTTTAAACCAACGTGGTTAAAATTCTTGTCGTCTCCCGGATCCTTGTTTCCGAAGCAACAAATATATTTTCCGTACTTGTTCACTCAGTATGAGATTCCAAAATACTTGTAACTCCAGTTGTACCTCGTATGAGATCCTGAATCGTCGTTACTTTTATAAGTCGTAAGAGTTTCGAATCATCATCACAGCGGTTATAAATCGCATCATGGTTCGTATAATATAAGTAATATTTTGGCTAATTGCTGTGACGCTAGTTTTAATGAGTCTGAAGCCTAACTGCAAACGGATTCTCTACCTCTGACCTGGAAGTCTTTATTCATAGTTATGGAATAGTTCATATAATAGTCAGCGGGGGTCTACTATTTACTCCACGACAGTTGTCCAACTTCCATATTATATATATATATATATATATATATATATATATATATATACTTTATTTTTGGATATTACATCAAAAACATGTCAAAGAACGCTACCCAATTGCAGTCGAGTTTCGACGCGAATCAACGCAGGTTACCAAGCGATTGTGAATGACTGGTAAGTCAACGACTTATTGGGATTTTAAAGTAAAATACAATGTCTTGTTAACAACGTTGGAATTGTACCCTATTCGTTCTCACGTTATATATATATATATATATATATATATATATATATATATATATATATATAATATGTAAATGTGTGTGTGTGTGTGTGTGATAAAAAATAATGTATCGAGACTGATGCCATAAGAAACTATAAGACGTATCAATTCCATATTTAATCTCCTTCGTAGCGGCCTTCTGACGTTACACACTTTATCCGGCGTTTTTTCCACTGACAGAAGCATTGCCGGAACTCCATTCTTTAGTATAGCAAGTAGCTACTTCGTCACTTGGATTACCTCTTTGCAGTTGGATTTGATCTGGGTAATATCGTGGTTGTCGAACCTGGGGAATGTTGTCCTTGGCCAAAAACTGCTGCAGAAGCCATGGTCACTGATGGAACCTTTGTGGCATGGTGAATGGTCTACACCATTTCATTCTAAGCACTGCTATAAAGAAGTGAGCGAGAACGTTATAATTTTTGTATATTCGCGTTAGAGGTCAAGGACAGTCTGTGCTGATATACATATATGTTTGTGAGTGTACGTACGATATATATATATATGTTTGTGTGAATGTATGTGTGTGTTCAAATATTTTCAGATGGAGTGAGAATTTGCAGTCCCCAATACCTACGCAAAGAGAAAACTCACATAGAACATTAATTCAAAAACATCCAATATACTTATGACTTCATTCACAAGACAAAGCAAAAGCCCCCCCATACATACCCACCAGAAAAATAACAGCATTATTCACAATAATAAATTAAACAAAAACAGATACATAATATTACCTACCAACTGTATAACGTCAAATATACAGAACAATTTATTCCATCTAAACGACATCCGAATAGTCACCACTTCCAAAACCATTATGGATATAACCAGATCTAAAAACACCGATAACTCTAATAATTCAGGAACAGGAATATAAAAAATAAATTGTAAAAATTGTTCCTCACAATACACTGGGGAAACATGCAGAAATTTAAAAAAACGTATCTGTGAACACAAAAGACAAGTCATAAATAACAATTTAACCAATGCTCTTGTCATATATAGAAATAAATTCGAACTCAGTTTTGATCTAAAATATGCCACATTCATCAAAAGAGAAAGTAATTTACTCTGATAGATTATCCTCGAAAGTAGCGCTATCGAATA